AAACCTTCAATATCGCTCCCAAACGGCCAAAGGGGCCCCCAAGACAACAACAGCCCACGAAGCCCCCAAGACAGCCCAAGAGGGCGCCCAGACGGCTCCAAGACGGAGTCCAGAGGGCACATGTTCGAGCTTTCGGCCCCAAGACGCCCCCAGCCTGCCCGAAAAACACCCCCAGGGGCCCTGAGGGACCCGCAAGAGAACCTCAAACGCCGCCAAGAAGCCCCTAGGAAGCCCCCAGGAGGCCTCAAAACTTGGCTCAACATGCCTCGAGGCGGCCAGATATGGCCTGCAGACAAGCCACGATGCCACCAAAAGGCAACAAAAGAGCACCAAAACGTACGATAACAGCAACGAAGCAACAGGAAGGATGTCGAGCGCCGTGTCATGATTCGGGCAAGCCTCGTGACATGTACTCCTGGACGCATTATAGTTGTTGTATGGGGGTCGGTGGATGTGGCGGAAGTCTGTAGAATCATCATCAGCAGCAGCATCAGCAACATCATCATCACCGCCATCATCATCCTCATCACCATCAGTTTCGTCACCTGCATCATCACCAGCAATCACCACCATAACCATCACAATCATCCGAATCGCCGTCGTCATCGTGATCAGTATCCTCAAGAGACTCACCATCACCCGACTCATCGAACTTATCACAATCATCATCACGTTGCACCCACCATCATCATCAGCATCAGCCGCATCAGCCCCATAACCATCACCGTCCTCATCATCAGCATCATCACCATCAGGATTATCATCATTGTCATCCTCCTCGTCCTCCTCCCCCCCCCCATTCCTCACCCCCCACTCCTCCCTCGCGGAATCGCCGCCCGCGCGCCCGCGCCCATACTCCAAGAGCCCGGCGAAGGGGCGCTCGACTGGGGAGACGCAGGCCCCGGCGGGCCCCGGCGGGCCTCGGCGGGCCCCGGAGCGCAGCCACTCGATCCCAACATGGCCATTTGGCGGCGCCCCATCGCCGATGCATCGGCGACGCGGCACGATCTCCCAACCCCATCCACTCCGACCTCCCAACTGCTCGCGGCGCAGACAGGGGGGGTGGGGGAACGGGGAAGGCTTCCTAGAAGCAGGGGTGTTTCTAAGCACCCTTCCACCACCACCCCATACTCCCCTATGGGCGCGGCCGAATCGCTGGGGGCCCGTATTACTTCTCCGCCCCGAAAGGCCCCCCGCCACCCCGATTGCACCCACTGGGCGGCGCCAGTGCACTTTCAGCCTCCCGAAGGGCATCCTGCCACTCGCCACCCACGCTCGCCCGCGCGGGCGCGGGACAAGAAAAATAACGCAACGCTGCCGCGCTGCAGCGTCGGCGCGCGACGCGCAGATGGATGCCAAGTAGCGCCGCGCAACCTAAATGCAGATCGCGAGCGGGTTTGCCAGTCCAACGAAACGAGCAAGACGGAGAAGCAGGCGGGCACGGGGCAAGCAGGCGGGCCCGGGGCAACTCCGGCACCGCCGACAGAGCGCGGGGAGAGGTAGCCAACACCTCCTCCAACGCACACGGGCAGGAAGAGCGCCCCACCACGTCGACGGCCCCGAGGCCTTCAGCCTCTGGAGCTGGAGGCACTAGGCCGGCACCCGCGAGGAGAAAGGCTCGGTTCTGAGCCCCGCGGGCGCGACGCCCTCAGCCTCTGGAGCCGAGGGTGCCCCTGCCCTCGCCGACGACGCGCGAGTCGGACTCTTCGCAGGCGTCGCAAGCCTTACTCTCGCCCACGCCCTTGATTTTCGACACGGCTCGGTAAGTCTCGGCATCCGTCGGGGCCTGCGCCTTCGCGAGGCGCGCTGCGCTGACGGACCAGTCGCAATCGGTAGACTTGCGCGCGCAGGAAGAGCCCGCCGCGCACGCCAAGACCACGACCTTCTTAGCCTCGTCGACCTGCACCACCATCATCAACTTCGAGGGCGGTTCCAACTCCGCCTTCTGGCCATTTTCGATAAATTCCTCCACCAGCTCGGACCTGGAGCCGTTCTTGCGACCCCCTCGCGAACCGCGTCTTCTCCAGGAAAACTACGCCCTTGTCGACGAACTCGAAGTGGAACATCTCGGTATTGTTATCGAAGTGGCCGTTGATGCCGACGATGGCGGTGTCCCGCGCGCCGCGGGCGCGACGCCGCCGCCCCCTGCTGCCGCTTGGCCTCCTTCCCGCACTGGGGCAGCGCCTCTGCGCCCTCCCCACAGAGGCCATGCTCCGCAACGTTCCGGAGCGCCGTCGCCCCGCCGTCGATTTCTAGCGGCCCGTCACTGACCGCCACCTCAACCTTCGCTCGCAGGACGGGCTTGATGAGCCCGACCCGCGCCCGGATCTCGTGATCCACCTCCTTGTCCTCGACCTGCAAATTGCCGCCGCCAGCCTGGGCCGCTCGCCAGAGCCCGCTCCACCACCGCTGTGGCCCTCACCACTGTGGCCCCCACCACCCGGCGAGTGCCGCCAGCGCGCACAACAGCAACAAAAGAGCCTGCGAATCGCGTCGGCCA